CCAGGACACGCTGGAGGGACTATGTCTCCTGGGTGGCCTGGGAACGCCTCGGCATTGGCTTTTCCCCGGAGGAGCTGGAGGAAGTGTCTGGAAAGAGGGAAGTCTGGGCATCTTTGCTTAGATTGCTGCCCCCGTGACCCGGATAAGCGGAGGAAAATGGATGGATGGATGGAAGTGAATAGTACCAGAAATGATTCATTTCTGATATTTGGCTCTTTTCAGACTAACTTTGATTGATTTAAAGTCAAATTGCTTTGAGGACAATAAAAATATGTTTTATAACTAACTTTTAGAAGCTACAATACATTACTGGACTTAAATTAAAATGCATGTAAAATGTACCCAAATCAGACAAAATTACACACAGAGTACACAGTAATCATTGGGATTGTAGGTGCTGCAGTTGACAGGGAAAGTGTGTGAAGTGGCCATCTGGAGGCCCCTACTTTCTGTGATGTGTGACCAGCACATTTTGGTGCCTGATTGGGACGCAGTTCAGACAGGGATGGAGACACTTTCTCGTGGTTGTGATAATGAAAGAAATCCAAGAAATGTGTGGTGTCATATCACAGCTGCTAATTAGAGATGCCACAGATGAAACATTCATATTTCACAGACTAAAGGAAAAGGTATTTTTGCCAGAGGTGCAGATGAGTGGTGCTAACCCCTTTGTTATCTCATACACTCTACTAAATTAAGGCCCAGTATTAACAATATAATACTTAGTGTGGCGTTAAATTCAAGGTGTACATGCCATGTGACTTTGATGGCATGCCCCTTTGCATTTTGTTCCTGTTATTTATCAGTATATGTAATCTCTAGTCCACAAAACTGCACTGAATAGCAGTAATGTATTGTTTATCAAGGGTGTCTTAGTTAAAACCATGTAAGGTGTGTTTTCAGGAGTCAAAAGGCTTGTGGCCAGAGGCTGGCTGCCTCTCCTCCTCCTCACCTTCTACACAACAAGCATTAGTCCAGCAGTACCACACATTACGCAAGCTGTTGGCTGACTATCTCCAGTCGAGAGCACATGGTGAAGCTGAATGTTTTAGTAGGAACACAAGATCACAAAGTAGAAAGGCAGGGGCAGGGCTGTGTTACTACAGGTCAAAGGGAAGAGAGATTGGCCATCATATATAACTCCAGGCGGCAACAAATCCTCTCCTGACATGAGTGAAGCTCAATCAGGAGGTACTCACTCAGGAGAGGGAGTCTCTTTTTAGGCTGAGGTTATTCCAGCCTGAAATATGATATAACTGAGGTGTGTGTCTGGTGTTCTTGTTCATGTTTGCCGTAGAGGCTGGTCCTCTGCAGTTTCCTAATGCTGCATAGAGATATACACTCACTGGCCACCTGTACAAATGTATGCAACACTTTTGCCTTAACATCAGTGTTTATGAAACGCAAAATGTTTCCGTTTTTGGTGAAATTGTGAGAAATGTGTAAATTCACTTATATATTTATTACTGAGGTCATAGTTAAAGGTGGTGTTGTATTGGACTACTACTAAGTTGGGTGCTTTCTCAAGTAGGAAGGTCACAGTGCCCTGTGAAACTGATTGCTCCTTTTCTAAGAAACATTCCCAGAGAGGGACAAGAACTTCTTAGAAGTGTTCTCCAGATGGGAAAAAGCTCAGGCCTCTGGCAAATAGGAATGTAATTTAGGTCCTTCTGGAGAAGGAATGCCACACAGCAGTGTGATAAAAGTACTCAGATTCCTTTACTGAAGTAAAAGTACCAATACCACAGTGTAAAAATACTCTGCTACAAGTAAAAGCCCTGCATTCAAAATGTTCTTAAGTAAAAGTACAAACATACTTAAATCACTAAAAGTAAAAGTACTCATTATGCAGAATGCTACATTTAACATTAACATTATATTTATTGATGCATTATTGTGTTCATCACTTTAATGTTGGGGCTGGTAAAGTGGGAGCTAGTTTAATGTAATATATAATTTAAATTACTGCCGGATAACCAGATTTTCCATCAATAAAATGTTATTTTTACTAATGTTTTTTTATTAATCTGATTCTGAAAAGTAATTAGTAACTAAAATTATCAAATAGGCTAAATCTATGGGAGTACAAAGTACAATATTTGCCTCTAAAATGAAGTGAAGTAGCACAAAATGAAAATACTCAAAAAAGTACAGCTACCTCAAAATTCTGGTTAACTACAGTACTTGAGTAAATAGACTTAGTTACATTCCCCCACTGGCTCACGGGACCACTGAAGTGATTCCAGTATCAAAACTCCTATAACATAGAAAGAGTGGCCATGGATTTTGCAACAGACTTTGCTTTGTTCCAACTTTGTTCCAGTGGAACTCTAGAAAAACTTGTGTGTTCTTTTTTTCTGCACTTTGTTCTAGTTACATTATACATGTGGCAAAGCATTTTGAAATTAATTATGTTTTCAGTTTATTAGAATCTCTGTTTAGATTGGCTAACACACTAACAACTTAATGCTGTTACTAGTCAGCACACATTTAATCATGAACTTTTTAGACTCAGACTTTCTGAATAACTGGCTGTGACACTCATTAAGTGCTTTAATGGGAAGAATGGGAAGTGAGTAGGTGTAGGACATGTTAAAACAAATAGTTTCTATTTTTAATGACTAGGCATTAGTCAGCCTTTATTGTGCTAATGCTCAAACGTCAGGTAAAATCAGAGAGGAGCACTTGTGTGTTCATCACAGAAAGGCAAATAGTTGTGAACACCAAGTTAACATAGACATAGAAAAATGGTTTTACTTATAGATTTCACAACAGCTCGTGTAAAAGTATCTTTATATACATAGAGAGATACATTCATTGTATTACATTTGTCTTATTCATAGTACTTTGTGACAGTTAGAGGCACAACAAATGATTATTTTCACTGTCAATTAATCTACTTTCTAAACAAATTAGTTAACTGATTAATAGTCTGGTGTATTAAACCTCAAAATGTGTGAAAAACTTGTTTTGTCCAAGGAACAGTCAATAACCCACAACATTTCAATGTGGTATCATGATATAGACAAAAAAAACTAACACATTTTCAAAAGTGGATTCTGCTTAAAAACTATTTAAATCATAAATTAATTGTCAAAAGTGGCATAGGCTGAGCTTTAACTGACTGACCTAACATTTCTCTACGTCTCCTCTAAATAATTCGTCATCGAATTGGAACTTTTGTGGTCCTCTCCAGCTGTGGGCGTCTAAAATCATCATCACTTTTTGTCCCCACTAGTTACATGCTGCATGAGGCAACTGACTTGCAAGCCACAAAAACCGTTAAGGGCGTGTGCTCAGGCCAACATTTGCTGAGTCACATGATCTCCCAAACCCTTTTGTCTATATGTAAATAAATAAATACACGATGCCATCACAACAACAGGCATTATGTAAACCCTGACAGAGTTGGACATGAGTCAGTCTGGTTGGTTGCAGCCTGAAAGTCTGCCTCTTATTCTTGGTGTTGTTCCAGTATTTCCCTTCATATCTTGTAACTGCAGAGCCCTTCAGGGCTGTCGGGTACATTCCATGAGAGAAAAACACACCACAGGCACAGCTCATCTCACACGTAACAGGCACAATGCCTGCTGCCAGAAAACAGTGTTAAGGGGATGTGACTCCACTGAGAGGAGGGGCCATCCTGTAAGAGGATCAGGTTGCATCAGGCAATGAGGTCACTTTAATGGTTGATGTTATTGTGGCAGATACTTACATCATATTGGTCCATCTAAATGTATATTACCATGTGAAAAGATGGTGTTTTTCCAGCTTGTATGAAAGAGAACTGGATACAACATATATCGTAGCTGCACATATACTGATAGACATCAATTCAATACAAAAACATCTGGTTAAGATGCCTGACAAACTGTGACAGATACAAAAATTAAGCTGTTCAATGGTGAGAAATAACATACATTTACTCAAATACTGTACTTAAGTACAACCTTTAGTTGCTTGAGTACTTCCCTGTCATATTGCTTTATACTTCTACTACACTGCATTTAATTGTATTTTAAATATTGTACATTTTACCCATTTTCATTTCATATTGGAGTCAACATCTGTACTGTGTATAAAGTAGGTAAAAGTAGCTACACCTCCAGGACCTACAATGGCAAAATGCTTCTCACATGCTGGTGCATCAGTATTAATAATTTAATAATAAATAAGCAGAGGGGCCATCCTTCTGCAGAACTTTTATTTGTATTGGAGTATTTTTACACTAAAGTATTTGTATTATTATTCATGTTCAGTTTTTGTCGACATTGTTAAAAAAATATAAATTCAGTTATAGGCTTATTGCTGAAATGGTGTTGTGCTGGACTACACTGCACTGAGAGGCGTTTCACATTTCTTGTCCTTCCTATTTACAAACATGAAGCAGGCAGAATATTAACACCTCGGAATATAGTCAAGTAAGTATACAGTTTAATTTTCACATTTCTGACAATATCTCCTGGCTACTGAGTGAATACCACACTGAAAGGGGCCATTTTGCATAATGAGTACTTCTACTTTTTAATCATTTAAGTACATTTCACTTGATAATACCTCTGTACTTTTACTTTTTTTTGCAACGCACTACAATTTTGATCTGAATACTTCTCTCACCACTGCAGATACACTACAGGGTGAATATAGAATGATGTCCCTTTACAAAATGTACTACAAGTTTTATATTTACCAGTCTTGCAAGTTATCTTGTAACTGTGTTTACCTATAGTCATGCTTCCACTGTTTACACAATCTAAAGCCTTATGCCTGATAACCACCCGGACATCAGACCAACAGTGTTATTCTCAAGTCTACACATGACTGTTGCTGACATAATCATTGCAAAGGTGAGCTCATCCAAAACAAAAACTCTTCCTGTATTCGTCACAGTATGGTCTGACCTGTTTCTTACATAACCAGCTTAATCTAATCATTAGCCCGAATCAGGACTGCACTTCCCCTCTTCATGACTAGCACTGGGGCACTGGGCAGAGTTTATAAGAGCAACGCCATTAACTGTTGGATTATTGCATTTCCTCAACACAGATGGCTTTTGGTGTCTGCTGCCACCTAGTGGACGGTTTTAAACATGGTCTCTGGTACATGTGTTGCCTCCACAGCTCCATCACGTGAGGTACCAGTCTCACCTGCCAACACTATCTGAAACAAACACCTGCAGGTTTGACATCTGAGAAACTCCCAGGTGGCCTGAGGCCCAAAGTGTACAGTAACACAGACTTGATGACGTCTGACTTACCAGCACACCAGTACTGTGTTAAGTCAAATTCCTCCTGTATGTGTACATTTCATTGAAATCTGCAAAGCCCCAAATTAATTTAAAAGCCTAAAATTCTACTAAAAACTTTTTAAAAAAACCCTCAGAAACAGAAAGAAAACCCTACTTTTCTGTCACTGATTCAACATTTTGGGACTTTTTGAACATACAACTTTGTGTCTAAAAATGACTGCATTTATAGTTTAGTTAGAATTATAAAACTGGCTCAAGTGCTGACAGTTTAACAGAGAAATGTCTTCCCTAGAAGTAAATATCAATGGATTAGGTTTAGCTGGAGTCTAGCTGTTTAACTTCAGGAAGGAAAACCAGGTTGTATTAAATGTATATCCTGATGAAAAAATCCAAATCATAAAAGAGTAGAGACTAATTTTATTGTAACAACATAGTGCTTTTACAGATGTACAGTAGGAAATCGTACTAACTTTAGATCATTTTAACAGAAGAAAGACAGAGCATCCTGGAATGATTGAGATTCAAATAAAATAAAAAAAACAAAAACACACAAACATACACCTCTTAATACTGTGCTCTGATAAAAAGTTAGAAATTTTTAAAAGCAACAGAACACCTCACATAACAAGGGTCTTAGTTAAAGCCTACAGCATGTGGCTAAAATAGATTACAGTACTTAAATATAAAAATAGACTCTTTTCTGAATTTGATTGTTCTTTTAGTTCTCTGCTGCAGTCTTCTAAATGGACGGATGTGCACGTCTGTGTGTCCACAGGTCCGCTGTGCTCCTTCAGTGGCACATCCGAGAGGTCATCTCTTTCTGTAGCGCACACACACACACACACACACACACACACACACACACACAGCACTGTGAGTTACAGCAGTGAACGAGAAAGCAGTTAAGGATGCAATGAGGCTTTAAATACATTTAAAAGTTGATAAACAAGACAGGCGACTGCAAAACAGCAACAGATAGATTTGTGTCAGTCAGTCAGATTGGGTTCACTCATTCAATATGATTATTCACCGTTTTTCATTAGAATGTTATCATTCTAATGAATGTTATCGGTGTCATCAGATCTACCTACAATGACAGAAATCACCTTTGTGAAAAAATTATTTTGATTTGTACTTGGCTGATGTTCCAACCACCAACATGGAGGGGCAGGGTTTACAGCCAACAGCTAGCCACCAGGGGGCGCAAAGCATGGGGTAGCGTCACTTTTAGGGAATTGTTACATCATCCATCTTTATATATAGTCTATGGTACCACTCATTACAGACGTTCAGTATCTTGTGACAGTTCTTAACAAATTACAATTAAAGGGATTCTTATTAAAGATGTTTTATGTTATGTTTTACTTAATTCATTAAAAATAATATAAGGCAAGATACCATTAATACCAGCCTTAATATAGGTGAGGCTGTAGTTTATCATGTACAATACTTTAATACAGTACCTCAGTTAGATAATTTCAAGTATCTGTGCATGGTGTACAGTTACTGATTTATGTTTGTTGTAGTATAACTTTGTCCATGTCTGGCACTGCTAATTTCTTTTGAAAAAGACCTATCACCTTCATTGGTTCCAGAAAGGCTCATCTAGAAACAATTACATCACCACTTTAACTAGTTAAGTGATATGTATTTACCAAACTTATCAAATAATCTCATTTATTTATTTATTTATTCAATTTGAACTTGCCCCCCCCCCCCTTTTAACTCACCAGAGGCTCAAGCTCTTTGTGGTCCGTCAAGTTGAACTCTGTGACAAAGTAATAGAAATGCTTGTAGCAGGTATTGACGTGAGCCTCGGCCCCCATCTGGCTGACACGGTCAAAGTGGTGGATGTAGACGTGGACAAACACCCGGAACAGACGAGACAAAATCTTTTTAGCCACCTGCATGAAGGTCTTAGGGAAAGGAGTACCTGGGAGTCAAACAGATGGAGACAGGAGAACACAGCACTCAATCCACGATGACCTTTTACTATTTGTTCCACAAAAGAAAAGGTATACTGGCATATATGTCAGGAATACTGACATATTTAAAGCATGGTTTTTATATGTTTTAACTGACATCAGCTTTTTTTGTTTTAATTTATGTGATCCTAAATATTGCCCTCTGGACTCCCTCAGGTTGGACAACAGCATTCTGAAGTACCCAGTCAGCAACACTTCATACATGAATGTAAAAGCAACACGACCTGGTCTGGGGAACGGCTCCAGCCAAGTGATTCATCTAGTGTGCTGCTTTGCTTTGACTCATTTAATAATATTTCAACAAGCAGCTCCAGAGGACATGCGCGTCAGAGGTCGTTTCTATTCACAGCCTACTGTACACTGTGTGACCCATTTTTAAATCCATTGCTTGGATGTTTCTGCAGTTAGTAATAGTCAGATGCCAAGCCACAGCACTGGGCACACAGTGCACATATGCACAACGCCACAGGCTGAGATAATAAGAAAACAGAGGATGCCACAGCAACAGAAGATAAATGGAGAATGTTTACAATGTGCAACACTGAAGATAATCTAACAAATGTGGCCCTGCAGATTTAATCTAAAACATCTCTGGCTTCAGATTTCAGACGCCTTCACTGCAGAGAATAAGATTTTATTATTCCTTTGTATTTATTACCGGTTCATTTTTTTTAAAAGCTGTTTTGTATTTCATGTGGCCAATGCTGAAAGGACAGAACGACTCCTATTAGTCAAGTAATTTATTAAGTACAACTCAACAGTGACAATCTGCTGCTCTCTGTTTTATATCAGAGGAAGTCTGTGAATATTGTCTGCATACAACTGGAATTAACCTACAGTGGGATTTCTGGAATGACTGCCCAAGATAAGAAACACTTTCATAAGACAAAAAAAACCAAAAGGTCTAATTCTGAACCTCAGTGTAGAGTTACTTACCAACATTGGTTGGGAAGATGTTCTCATTGTTGATCTGCACCTCAATCCAATCCATGAGCAGGCTCATGTATTTGGGGGCCGACAGTGCAGTCGGTCTCTTGTACTTCTGCTCATCCTGCCAACGGTATTCATACTTGGGCCCACCAGACATGACAGGGCAGGTTTGATCGGTGCAGGAGTCGCTGATGGTGCCGTAAATGAGGTTGATGCGGTTGAAGAAGTCGACCACATGGACAGCCACCCAGTCATTGAGGTCCTCTCCATGGGGCAGCTGCACAGCCTGCTTCAGATCCAACCCGGCGTTCAGAGACGCCTGAGCCTTCTTGTGCAGTTCAAAGCGTTGTGTCCCGGGCTCAAACTTGCGTTTGGGACGAAATGTCCTGTCTTTGTTGAAGACTTGTTTCAGGCCCAGGGACATGGTTGCAAGCGGTGACGGTGGCTAGTGATTAGTTTGAACACTTCAGGTGAATTTCTTACTTCTGAATTGGAAGACGTGAAAAGGTTGTGTAAACAACCAATACAGAGTTTTTGTTATGGACAGTCTTATATTTGTTTTGCCTTGTGATTCGTCTGTGATTCTGTGGTCCTGTGCAGGATAAAAAGGGGAGAAATTAAACAGAGACTGGTTAATTGCATATTTAGGGACGGCTGTGGCTCAGGAGGTAGAGTGGTCATCTCTCAATCGGTGGTTCGATTCCTGTTCTCCTTAGTCCACGTCAAAGTGTCCTTGGCAAGACACTGAACCACAGGTTTTCCCGATGTCCAGCTGCCTTGCAGGCACAGCGCCGCCATCGGTGTGTAAGTTGGAGCCGCAGATGGCTGCCTGGGTTCTGTACCAGAGACAAATTCCTTGTGTGTGCAACATACTTGGCCAATAAAAGTGATTATCACTTGTATTAAAGAAAGTCACTTTCGGCTTTTCCCGTTTGGGGGTCGTCATAGCGAATCATCACAGACGACTCGCATGTTGACATTTGGCACGTGTTTCACGCCGGATGCCCTTCCTGACGCAACCCTGATTCGAACCCGGGGCGCAGCGGCGAGAGCACTGCGCCTTAACCACTAGCCTACCAGGGACGGCTTGTATTAAAATACCTAATTTCTGTTAAGCCTCAGTTTGAGATATCACTCAATCATTATGATTTACAAAATATTACCATCTAAAGCTGAAAACTCTAAAAGCTAAACTAAAAAATTTTCCATCATTAATAAATCTTTCTGTGAGAAAACCTATATATCTAATCCATGAATATGAAAATCAGAATCATCTTTAATAGCCAATATGTTTGAATATAAAAGGAATTTGACTGTGGTACAGAGGCTCTCAGTGTATTTGTAAGGCAACAGGAAAATTTTAAAAAGTAAAAATAAGAAACAAAACAATGAAAATAAAAAATATGTGCAATCAATAACAGAATAGGAAGAGAGAGAGAAACAAACACCATTTATAATATACATACATGAAATGCCAGAAAAGTGACAAATGTCCACCAGTCTGCACTCACAGTTTCCCCAGAGTCCATAATCAGTGGTTACCAACCTGTCTAGCATGTGGTCATGCAAAGCTGGTGTCTACCTGCAACTCAACAGTGGAAAATCTGCTTCGCTCTTGTTTTATATTTACATTAATTAAACATTAAGAATAAAAATAACAGCCAAATGATCACAATATTACCACAATAATTTCACATAATAATTCAGCTAATCAACTAATCAATTCATTGACTTATATTCACTCAGACATAATACATCAGAATTGGCTGGGAAGGTAGGTTATATGGAGCTGAAACTGTCAAATAATCGAAAAGCCAGTAGACAGAAATTTATTGTGTAGCTATTTGGATAATCGATAGATTTTTCTCTGTCTTATATAAGCAGGATATTCTGGGCTTTTAGATGGTTGATAGAACAAAAAAAGATATGAGGTTGAATAATCACTCATCAGATAATGTTAGTTGAAACCCTAAAACCAATAGCATCTTAGGCCCAGTTTTTGTATTTTCTTGCATACAGGTATGTAATTAAATATAAGGCCCTTACCCTCCTTAAACTGAAATAAATGCTAAAAGTATAGTATTTTATCTTGAGTGAAATTTAAGAGTATCAATAGCTTAAATGTCTGAGTGAAAATATGCTAGAATAACTGGGCCTACTTTATGATCATCATCAAAATACAGGACTTCATCTGCCATTACAAGGCTGACCTGAATTCCTGAATGACGACCTGAAGTTTTGCCTCATCAGCTCAGGTGAACAAGTCTCAGCAGAGACAGAGGCTGCTATTAAAGGTGAAACATCAGTCAGCATGAGTCATTTCCTATTTCAGAAACCAATTCCGCCGTGAAACCAAGAATTTGCGGAATGGCAATAAAACCTAGTCAAAACATCTATTAGCAATATAACAGGACCCAACACCATTAGCCCGATTAAACCCTCTATCTCAATATATGCACCCCCATCTTCATTATCATTTACACTTTACATCGTTTTAGCACATTTTCCGAGACAAAAGCTAGAGATTAAACAGTAGGGCACATGACGACTGTACCAAGTTTATTCGTGGCGTGACTAGCTAACTCGGTAGGACTTGTTGCTTCCTAAAACAGCTTAAACATATCACGAAACAAGACAACACAAATCCGCCATATTCATACCTAATAAACCTCACACGTTGAATAAAATCGTTTAAAACCAGCCATTACTGCAAACAAGTGGTCAAACGATGACGAAATCGCACAATTGAAAGCCACTTTCCCGAACTTACTTGTTCCGCCTTCCTGTTCCGCCAGTTTCCTTCGATCTTTTATTGCAAATTATCTGGTTAATGACCAATAGCTTTATGTCACTAACATACACTGACTACATTATGGATACATGGTACGATAGATGCTGCAGAATTTCTGATCTATAATCATGTCACTTAAATAAAACTAACGCCTGACTCCTCCCTACGAAACGAAAAGTATACCAGGGTCAAAACAGAGGCATTAATAACTACCTCCGGTCACAACTTTCAAAATAATGGACTCTCCTTTGAGGCTAATGTATTGTAAGTGCATTCTAATACTACTGATAACAATTAAGGCGCCGTAAGTAAAACTAACATTGACTATCTATTTTTAGGCTGCTAGTTTGCTGATGCTTATTTACCTTTACCTAACTTATATTGTGAATGCAAGACTTTACGCCACTATTTTGAACACTAGTTTTTCAACTTCCGGTGCCTGCCGCTCAGTGCTACTTCCTTTGGCAGTGGGCAGACTGTATAATGGCATTTATTTTTATAACAGTCATAATTAACCACAATACACCATGTTTGAATTACCGACAGAAAAACTAAAGGCAGTATCTGGGTTAAAGGAGTTAGAATCACTGAAGAGTAGAGGCCTTAAATATATTCCCAGCCCTGTTATGTGATATGAATTTCAACACATCATTTCGATAATACCTGTGATTTATGCTGATTATTATTTACTTTACCAAAGATCAAAATGACTATAATTCTTCCTAAAACTTTTAGAATGCTGCTAGTGTTTCCACTTCAGTATTTTACTCTGTGAGAACATTAAGTATGGCACATGTATACACTGTAGGATGTTATTATGTTATTACTGTGAATGAATTATGAGACAGCAGGCCTTTGGGCACAGGCATGTAAAGGACCCCCACCCCTCCTACATAGAAGCAAGTCTGAAAAAGATGCAAAATGTTGTCTGTTCATATTACTACCTTTGTTCATACTACCACATTTGTGGTTGTTTGGTGTCACCGTGTAGTCCTTTTACATCTGTTTGTAGTTATCTTTGCCATCATTTTGTCTATTTCTGATTGTTTTGTTTGTCTTCCTGGTTGTTTTATATCTCATTGCAGTCATTATGACTCACGTTGGTTGTTTTTGGTCATTTTGTGGCTCTTTGCGGTTGTTATGTGATCATTCTGTACAGTCAAGAAATAATTAACTTTCTCTTTTCAAACGTGTGCAGAAGTAAACCAAAATCTTACCTTAATTCACTGACTCTTCAAGAATGTTGAAATCACAATATAAAAGTGTATGTTGCTGTCAGTTTCTTTCTACTTTATTTGTTATTTTAAAAAAGAACAATAAACTGCTCTTAGGTGGTGAACATACTATACACTGCCACTAGGCTCCAAAATATCAGAATATAAAATTAGTTTGTTCATCAATATAAAGATGTCAATCCTTAACATTCAAACCATGACAGACAGACAGAAAGAGATCCTTCTTAGACGGCTGACACAATAAAGTCCAATTTACATTTGTAAGCAAGGCCTGTTTGGTGGTACTGCAGTCAGATCTGGTCAGTGTGCACCGTTCATTAAAAGCTTTTTGGTTGTTTAATGGCCAAGTTGAAAGGATGCTTTGTGCAGCACTGGGACAGAATGTGCCTTGTTTCTGTCTACTTGTCAGGCTCCGCAGCGGCTGCGTCTTCCTCGGGCTTGGCCTTTTTTGAGATGGAGTAATGGTAAGACCTCATGGACTCCTCGACCTTCTTGAAGTCTGGGCGCTCCTCTTGTCTGGTGAGAGAGTAGAGGGTTGTGATTAATAGAAGGCAACCAAACAAGGCCTTCAGAGATAAAGAGAAATCATGCTTTTAAAGTTGAAATCATCTCAAATACAATATGCTATAGGCCTGACTGATTTGAAAGCTCATCTCCAGACATGAAACATAGTTTACAACTGAAATAGTGGTATAGGCCCAGGTTATCTGGGCCTATACTTTTATTGCACACCACTGGAAACTTGATTGTTTGTCTTCTGCTCTTTTTTTTAACTGCCCATATTGCTGATGTATCCAGGTGCCTCATTATGTGCTATCATGTCAAAACTAGTATACTATTGGTCACAGAATGCTATAAACATAAAAATTTTCTGCTTTGAATAATAATAATCTTAATTAATATGTTTGGTCTTGTTTAAAAAAATCTTAAATTGTATACTTCATACTCTTCTCTCAATGAAAAATTCAGAATCTATAAACATGGAAAATATTTTTTCATGTATAAAAGTTCACTCTCCGTGTATGTGCACTAGAGGTTTTGAGTTTCCACATCACACTTTTGTAAATTGTTAGGTTTGTCTCCAAATACATTTTGACATCATTAATTATGCTTGTTTGTTTGTACACATGTTGAACTCAAATTAAAGGTGAGCACAGACCAACTTGCTTAGCGTTGCACACCCATCACTCTGCACAGTAAAGGGCAAACATCCAAGTGAAGTAACAATCAGCAAAACCCACGTTTGGACCCCAGTACACAAAAACATGCATAACTTATAAAACCAGTTTCTCACCTGTATGTCCAGCACTCTCTCATCACTTCGTACATTCGCTCTGGACATCCTGGTGGGCAGTCCATGCGATTCCCACCCTCAATGTAGCGAATTACCTCTGGTCCTTTCATTTTCTGGACAAAGGTCAAAGAGACAGGACCTGTAACTTGATGTTAAGGAATACTTTTTCCTTACAGTAGTGTGAGTTTTGTGATTTGTACAGTTGATATGTAGATGACTTTGAAGGTGCTGTGCAGAAACACATGTACCCTGTAGGGTTTCCCTCCATAGGTAAAGGCCTCCCACATGGTGATACCATAACTCCACACATCACTTTTGCTGGAGAATTTGTGGAAGTTTATACATTCTGGAGCGTACCACTTTAATGGCCATTTACCGGCAGTACGAGCCTGCACAACACACAAAGTATGACAATTAGCAGCCTGTCACACATCCAGACTAGATTAGTACTGATAATCTGAGGCAACAGACTTTTTGATTTAGAGCACTGGCTCCCAAAATGGGTGATGCAGCACCCTCTAGTGCTCTAAGGATTTGAACACTTCCACTTTTAAATAGAACGTTTTACCACATTAAAATAAAATATAGTGACATTTTACTTTTTTTTATTACTTTTTTAAGCCAATGGAAAAGAAAAATAAGCAATAAACATCTGAATCATTTTGAGTGACTGAGAATAGACCTGTTTCACATAATATTAATGTTAGTTCATATTTGGCACATGTGCAAGTGTAGGATTGCTGGAGGTGGACGCTGGGAGGATAATCACTTTGAATGGGTGCTGTGGTTTAGATAGAGAACCACTGATTTAGATGATAGAGCAAATATTCCTCCCACAATACAAGTCTTATTTAAATGTCTTATTGAAGTGTCACATTTAATTTCTTGAGTCAAGGATTTGTGGTTTGATACCTACATTCCCTCAGGGTGTGGGTCTGTAAACCAGTGAATATATACTTTAGTGAGTAGCTTGGAATGATAATACTGAGCTGGTATTTGTGCAGTGTGAAATCAGTAATTCCTAGAAAAGCAATCAATTTAAGATACACTATCTATTTGTATTAGCTGCAGTGGTGATAGTCACAATACCCAAACCCTTCAGTGAGTTCTCATTTGTGCCATTTTGTCTTGCAATGCAACAAATATAAGAAAATGTAGCTACAACATAAGTACCTTGTAGTAGCTGCCATCTGCTCCCAGAGCCTTAGAGAGCCCAAAGTCACTGATTTTAGCAAACTGTTTGTTGACGAGAAGGACGTTACGAGCTGCTAAGTCTCTGTGCACAAAGTTTTTTTCCTCCAGATATTTCATCCCCATCGACACCTGGTGCATCAGGTTGACAATGTTCTCCACAGTTACAGTTTCTCTGTGGGGAAAAATACTAATAATCACAAAAAGCGCAAGAAGACAAAGAAGAATGTATGTTCTTCCTTAAATTGATGCAGTTTCTTCTTATCCAAATCAAGAGGTTTTGTCACTGGTTCAAGGTGTAGCTGTGGCCCTCTCTATTCTGCTTGTTCCGTGCCTGATTCTCCTCACATGAAAAGAGACTGCACCACCATCCCATAAACAGCGGCTGGAAGTATTGGCACACCTCAAACTAACCCCTAAAGCTTGCTACTCTTGGGTCAACCAGAGCGTCTCATAAACTCTGGTAACCTTTTCCATATTATTTTGAAAATTGGACAAACACCCATCAGGCCTGCTCTAATCCCAGTGGCTATATATTTCATTTTGTTTCACACATCTTTCCTCTAATAATGTGCAGATGTTTTTCTACCAACTTGAACTCACTTGTTGGCGGAGAGGAACTTGTTTAGAGGCCCGGCAGAGGCCATCTCCAGGACCAGCATCAGATCTGTGTGATTACAGAGGCCCAGCATGCGAACAATAAAGGGGTTGTCCAGTTGATACATGATCTCTGCCTCCCTCATCATCTCCTCCTTCACCATTTTCTCATTATCACTCTTCAGCACTTTGACGGCCACGTCCATCTGACCCCTGAAAGAAAACAAACGTACAATTCTTGATGACTATACAATACAAATAACTGTAAATAATGTACATTCAGCAGTATTTTATTTCTTGTCTGTTTATGGGAGCTATTGTTTATGTTGGCAGTTCCATCTACAGCAAACACTTCACACTATTATACTTTATAATATTTCAGCCCTTACGAATTAGTCGTGAGGACTCCCTTCTTGACATAGCCAAAGTTCCCAGAACCAAGCTCCATCTCATCGTCCACCAGCAACTGAGTTTTCTTGATGTTAAATTTCTTCACATCGTTCGGGTTGTGGTATGGGTTGAACACATCAGTGTCCATGGGCAGAACATCATGGTTCGCACTAACTGGCCTGGGAGCTGCTGCTGCAGCAGCTGAAAAGTGAAGGTAAAACCCACATCAGCTAGGTATACATTTTTGTATATTATAAATGCTGTTAAACAGGTGGTACGACCATCAGTTGTATCTTTCAAGACAATTTTTTTAACCTCATTTAAAGTCCTTCATGTATTAACTGAAGTTTTTAATTATTTGAGTTTGCTTTATTCACAACAATACTCTTGGAAAAAGCAAGATTTATAATTAACATCTTAAAGTGATTTTAAAAGTCATGCAATCTTAAATCTTATTCAGTTTTGTAGTAATGGTGGAATGTAACTAAGTACCTTTACTCAAGTACTGTACATAAGTACAATTTGAGGTGGTTGTACTTTACTTGAGTATTTCCATTTGAACACTTCTACTCAACTACATTTCAGAGGGCAATATTGTACTGTTTACACCACTACATTTATTTGATGGATATATAGTTACTAGTTACACCTAATGTTTGACACACACACGTAGTATACAATCTTTTACTTGTCATGGAGTACTTTGACACTGTTTTATTGCTGCTTTGACTTAATTAAACTGCCTTAGTACTTTTCTATAACTCACTGTATCATGGTTTGCATTTTGGGACAGGCATTGCAAACTAGTTTAGCTTATAAATGCTCTAGTATGTTGGTTCATATGTGTCCCTGTAAAAAGAAACATTAAATAAGTGAATAAATAAAAGTTTTTAACAGCTATACTTCCGGTGACTGACCTTGAGGTGGCGGTGTGTATCCATTTCCAACACCCCGCCTCTGAAAGAGGTACAGTAAAATGAATGTCAGACACTGAAGTGGTTTCTGACTCACACAGTACAAAATGTGCTAAATACTCACTGTTGCAGGAAGACTGGGGGTCTCTGAAAGGTTGTTAGACAAATTGTTATATTAGCAATTTTAGTAGTAAATGTAATGGCTACAAATAACCTATAATCAACAAACAGTCATTTTTGCAGCAAATAATGATAATATGAAAAAAGAAAAAGTTCATTACTTTCAGTAGATTGGCTGTTAAGACACGCTTCCCTGAGAACTGTTATCAGGCCATCAGGTTTCATCTTCAGGTACTCAACCAACTGGCAAAGTTGATATAAAGTTAAGTTTTAATGTAAATACTGCCAGCAGAACTGAAATACAGTGACAAACAATAAAGTATGGCCTACCTGCCAGAGTGTGTCAAATTTTGTTCCCTCTGGCATGGAATATTTCCCTGATTTGTCTTGGAGGATTTGATAGTGGTATACTGTTTTTCCGTATAGTAACGAGAGAGCAAACGTACCCGACTCATCTCTGTCTCTCACTCTGGGTAACAACAGTAAAAAAATAAGTTAGCTTTTCTTAGGTCAGTTTACAAAACAGCACACAAGTAGGTGCAGAAGCAGAAACATCACCTTAAGCAACTTACAGAAACTTGCCGTCTGGTTGTGCGTGACTGTAAAGCCGCCTCTCACCCTCCTGGCGATTGATTTTACCATGATACCAAGGCATCTTCTCATGGGCCGTAGTGGCGATAAGCTTCTCGAGCTGAGGAGCTTGACTGATGATGGCCTGCTCCATGGCTTCTCCCTGAGCAGACAAACATCCAGGACAGACAGAAAAAACAAATAGGTACAATACACAAACAAACAATTATCATTTTATGCCCAGTTTTAGCTCTGTTCATACACATTAACAAAGCAAAGTTGTATTTATTTTGCCACTGGATATCTGAGATCCAGATTTAATATATCAGAATGCATCACCATTTGCAACCATAGCCTATATACAAATCTAAAAGTACTCAATTACAAGTAAGAGTTCTTCAGGAAGTAAAGTGGGTCATCCCCTCCCTGTAAGGTTGGTCGTTTGATTCTCAGTCCCCAAGCAGCTCCTGGTGACCACTGCCATTGGTGTGTGAATGAGATGAATGTGTAAATACTGTAAAGAGCTTAAGTGCATAGAAAAGCACTATATAAGTTCAGGTCCATTTAGCATTTATTCAAATTCCCATTTTAAATAAATATAAGTATGATGAGTGCTTTTACTTTTCATACTTTAAGTAGATTTAGTTAGTTGCTGATTTTGAATGCCAGTACTCAGAAAAATGGCAACTCTGATTGAGATATAATGAGAAATTACATTATCAAACCTCTAATACTGATGCATAGATGGATAAGCAGCATTTCATTCTTGTAACTTATTGAGATGGAGCCAGTGTTGAGTACTTTGTATACACTTTGGTAGTTTAGTCTCCCTCCATTGGGCCACAAAATAAATCTAAGCAAGTGAGATGATTAATGGGAAGAAGGAAAACCAGAGTTGTACTACAAAAACATTTCCTTAATCTTTGCTATTTTGTTACATATTGGATGATTCAACATTTTTGGCCTCAAACAGCTATATAAATGAAATTGTCCAAGAAGTTTACAGGGTCCCTGCTAAGACTTTAGTCCACATACACCTGGAGCTGGTTTGGCTGTTTAGCTCAAGTCCGCCAGTGTTGAAAAGGTTACTGGTGTCAGTGTGTTTCTATGTGCAGCAGGAAACAGATGGGATTCGAGACTGAAATGGCACCTGAGAGAGCCGAGACCTCCACACTGGGTGATGAAGTTTCTTAAAACACTAGACAAATGAATAAGCGTAGTATTTAAATGCATCTAGAGGTTCTGCTTTTTCAGTGTGTGTGTGCGATTTAGATAGTTCAGTGAGTTCAGGCCGACTGATGAGATTGTTTATGTTGTTACAATTCAAGTACTCATTTTGCAGTCTGTCTTCTATCAGTGTTATGTTACGTAGTATAGACTCAGTATTGATATATTAATATGCAAGTGGCACTTAAATGTTGTAGACAGTTGAAGTTGAGCTAATTTTAGCTAATTGTACTGTTGGGTTTAATTTATAAAAATTTGTTTTATTTTATAAAATTATTCTATTATTTTTATGTAGTATCTTAATCTGAAAAGTAATTAGTAACTATAGCTGTAAAATAAATTCACAAAATTTTCTTCTGAAAGGTAATGGAGTAAAACATAAAGTATTATCAATACAAGTAAAATAGCTCAAATAGGAACTCAATGGTAACTATAAAACTATATATTATAACTACAAAAACTACTGGAAAACCACTGTTCAACAGTACCCAACTGCCTCAGCAGAGCCTCACCTCCAAGTTCCAGGTCTGCTTCACGTACTCCCTCAGCATTTTGTCTCTCAGGCTGTCAAATACGCCGGGCTGTATTGGTGTATCTGGGGAGCGCAGACAGGGTTTCCTCAGCATGCACACCAGTCCATCACGGTCCTTGCTGTAATACTCACAGAGCTCTGCAGGCCCACAATGAGGCTTGCCTCCTCCTGTGATGAGGTAAGTCCCATTAAGTTGTTTCTCTATGGGGTAATGGTGAAACTCCAAGTTCCACACTATAGAGAGGACGTAGCCTCCCAGACTGCGGAGACACTGTCGCAACAAGAATTGGCCATCGACCATCCCAGCCAGCTTCAGGTGCTGCTCGGCATCAGAGCGACTGATGCTGCCATAGTAGAAAGGCAGCTCAATCGCAGGGTCAGTTGACATGGTGACGACCTCGACCTGGACTTTGGCTTGGAGTCCTGGATGTAGATGGTGGAGAGGAACTAGAGAAACAGAAGGACAATAATGGAAATGATCAACATTTAAACAAAGGTGCAGGGTTATAGGAATAAGCTGATTCAGTAGACAAGTGTGTCACCAGTAAACCGACCTATGATCTTTCAGTCTTTTAGTCCCCACCTCCGCCACTGTCTGTTCAGTCAACACCAATTTCTTGTTTACCAAATTTTTAAAAAGCTCTATAGAAATAAAGTTCAAACTGGAAAACACAGCATTCAATCCTACAAATTCTCCCGCCAAACAATGTTTTTTTAATATAAGTTTATCAGTTCTACATAGACGAGCTGTGACGTTCCATAAGTCTGGATGACATATACAGCGAGAAGCACCCCTCTCTAAAACTGCACGAAACTTGCAGATTAACAAAAGCCACAACAGGAAGCTACAGTCCGCCCTCACAGCCTCATCTCTCCAGCATCTCACTCTTCTGTTAAACAGGTGCTATTTGGTTCTAGATCATTCCCTCCGCTTTAGAAGCACAACGTCTGAGTTTTCCCCTTTATAGGATGAAAATGTTTTGAGGGAAATTCACATAACTCCAGTGTTAAAACAAAAATAACTACTGTATATACAATGAGATGTGTCTGTTAGGAAACTGATCTAAGACTTCAGTAGATGGGTTTGTACTGAATATCAAGATAAGATTAACATCAAGCAGGTTTTGACTGTAGTATGGAAGAATTTATGTGATAGCAGGTGGGAAAGTGACTGTTGTAGCGGAAAACAGAAATCAACAATGATCACAGCTAGGAAAATAGTTTGAATATAAAGCAGCACCTATCTACTATCAGGTTTATTATAAATGAAAGCCACAGCCATTTCTACCATAGTGAGTTGAAAAGCTATCAGTCAGTTATGCCAATCTAGGCTCTGTTTTACCGTTTTAACATTAAGATTAAGGTTTCATATAAGTTTTCAGTTTCTCTCCCCAAGTTCTAAAATCAGAGATGAGTATGAAAGCCTCAACTTCCTGGCTACATACCTGTGTTGCTGCCCACATCCATGGTGGACAACTAAGCACAGAAACATGGTCACCACAAAAAATAAGATTCCACTGTGATGTGACCCCTTTCTCACCACAACAAAGACCTCTGGGCTCTTCGGTGTGGACAGATACCCCACATGTCTAGACACAAATTATATACAGTATCGCTGCTGCATGAGTGCTTCATAAACTGCACCAGTTTGCATGGCAGCTTCCAGTTTACTCTGCTTGGGTTATCTGCTTGATATAACCACATGGGCTCAGGATTACTTTGGCACACCTGTGTCAGGCACTACAATATGTACGTAGTTACATCCATAAATTGAAATGTGTTTATTTTGAACAAAGAATAAATTTGATGCGGTATCACATCAAATAACGTGCCGCTGTATTGTTTTCAGTGTAATACATGCACAGATGAGTTACAAATCACTATTTCCAGTTTTAATTTTGATTTTGCATGCCATCCCAACTTTTTTTGATTTGGGGTTGTAATTAGCGCTAAACACAATATAACTAAAGCTAATGGGAATGTCATTAGTTCTGCCTGTGAGAAATCTAAAACTGGAGTGAATAAGATATCCATACAAAATTCTCAACCCAATACATCATACAGGAACAAGGCTGGTTTACCAGTTTACTCCATATAATTTTTGCCTTCATAATTTGATTAATCATATGTTTCTCAGAAATTTGCACAGGTGAAGTACAATATCAATTCTTCATCTTGTGGCTTTGGGCTTGTAGACTGTAAATACTGACCCGAAAGGAGTAAAAATAACAAAAAGTAAAGTCAGCCTATCATCTTTCATATTTAGCACCTTATTTCAGCCCTGTCCTGAACCATGAAGTCAGTGATTTTACTCTGACTAATACAAGCTGTGCTTTATGTAGATTTCTGTAGATTAAATAAGGTATGTTCCAGCAATAACTATTCATCTATTAAAGCTATTTTAGGTGAGGATTATTTTGGTTGTGTTATGAGCAATTTAGCTCATATTTATGTAGGTCAAAGCATTCCTCCAAACAGTACGTAGATCAACACTTGAATCAGATAATGTGTCCTTTACCCTCATTGGTGAAAGGATTTTTCTCCAGACTGTCTTTTGTTTTAGTGGTGATGTAAAAACAGTTAAAGACGTAGGAGGACTTGGATAAGTGGCTGATCTTCATATTAGGTTGGAAATGTAAATGCCACAAAGGGAACCATAATTTCCTGCATCGATGGAAACAACTGACATTCAAATAAACAGTTAGCAGTTTTATCTCTGTTGTGACTCATTCTAAACTAAAATGAATCTGCATAGGTTAAACTCTGCACTCAAAATTAAGTCAGGAGCCATTTTCATGAACATGAACAACTAAATACTCTATCTTTCAGACATAAAAAGCGGCTCAGCATACCTGCTGCGTAGTGTAGTTGAATTATAATGAAGTTTTTTGTATCATTTGAAACTAAATTTAGTGTTCAAATGCTCTGTAAACACATTACACTATAAATTAAGAAGCACACTTTGTTCATAAACGCCTCTTTCTGTCCAGGCCAAAATCGGCTGACTGTGGTGACAACACTATACGACATTTTGCAGACACAGACCTCCCCATTTTTGGTTTTCTATTCTGAGGCACAATGAAAGCAGCTATTTTTTATTTTGCACATTATCTCTACTTTTTAAGCCAGAGCAGCAATGCCTGAGCCCAACTGTGGTGCACATACTTTTAAAATGTTTTCAGCTCGCACACAGCTGAAATAAAAACCATTCCATTTACTGATGAGTTTTGAGGCAGGAAGTGTAACCAGTCAGCATGAATATAAATCAAATAAAGGAATATAAATCTCCAGAGCAGTTTTAATGCCGTGGTGGAGTATTAGTTTTCCTTTTGAGGTTCTGGGTGTTAAATTTAATGAAATGAACTACATAGTTTGATGGTCAACTATACTACCATCAAACTATTGCACAGTAAACTCCATGTAGACTCAAGCATGTGTGATTTAAGTTAGACAAACTGACTATTTACAAGTTAGATATCAAACCATACTTGTTGTTTCAGTACAACCTTTCTCCAGGCCAGGTCTCACCCTATTCATATGATCACCTACAGTATCATAAAAAAAAAAAAAAAATTCACATAGAAAATACGTGTAATCTACAGGCACAAATGATGTGTGCTAAGAAATCAGATATAACCAGAAAACCTACTTACGTTTCACAGCTTTACTGCCAAGTATGGCAATGTTGTTGCTTCAAAGACACATATATCTGCTGATCTGGCAGCAGGGTAAGATTCTGTGAAGATGTGGGTGTTAGAAATGATGCACCCCCACCCACCCAGACACACGCACATACAAATGCATACACAAATGGAAATGTACTGCAGAAATCCAGTTTCAGTGTTATCTATCAAGTTCTTCTTTTGAGCTCCTTAAATCTTGACTAACCCATAACAAACTGCAGAAGACACTGGTTGACTCAACATTAAATGAATGTTTTGACACGATGGCAACCTGTTTGTTGTAGTGCCGTAAGTTGACAAAACAGACACCGCTCTTTGTGCTATCTGTAGTTGTTTATCTTGGGACAAACTGCTAGCCTAGCTCTACCTAAAGGTACCAAAACCACCTACTCCTTTAGCTCACTACTGAACATTTTAACAGGTGCTGACATTTTTTGGACATGTGCATAGGTTGTTTTAAATCCACCTTTGGACAATGCCAGGCTAGATGTTTCTCTGTTTCCAGTCATTGGTTGAGGAGGCAGGCAGTCCCCTGACTGTTACTTTCATATTTAAAGGAACAGTTTTGGTTTCCAAAACTTTAACAGTGGTGGAAGGTAGCAAAGTAGGCTGCATTTACTCAAGCAAGTACAATTTTGACTTTTGAGGTATTTGTACTTTACTTGAGTATTTTCATGTTTTTGCTGGGCTATTTCATAGATTGACTTCACAACATCTTAAAGACAAACACTGTACTTTTTACTTCACTACACTTATTTGATCATTTTAGATACTAGTTACTTTTCAGAATCACATTGATAAAAACAAAATAATTATAAGACTTGATTGATCCCTGGTGGGAAATTCACAAGTCACCCGGGAGTAGCCTGCCTAAAACTATAAGTCTATAAGGTAGTTAACATTAGCTCCATCTTCAGCAGCAGATGGATGAACACAATAATACATCAGTAATTGTAATCCAATAATATGATATATGAAATGTGTCATTCTGCATGATGAGTACTTTTATTATGGTACCTTAAGTAAACTATATTTTTATCAATCACCAGTCACCAACATAGATTATTTTTCTTGCGAGTCACAATCTGTTTTTAACTTGGGGGCTTGTGATACACCTCAGTGACCATATAGTGATATTAAAATACTTTTTTCTGCCCTCATTATATATGCATCTGTATATGTAGAAGACTGGCAATCTTTCCAGGGTATAAGCCGCCTCTCCAGTGTCAGCTGGAATTGGCTCCAGCCCCCCACGACCCTCTTCAGGATAAGTGGTATAGATAATGGATGGATGGATGGATATATGTAGAGAGAGAGACTATATTTGCTATCCAAACTACCAATAAACTAATGGCAGTGATACTATGAGTAACCCTGCTGACCTCAACAACCTACAGCATGTGCAGACACACACACAAACACACTACCCCCACCTCACCCGCTGCCGCTGC